CACTGCCCCATTAGGACTCAACCAATCCATGCCAATAATCACCTTGTTCCCACGCAATGGGATGGGACCAAGTCTACCAGGTAACGCTCCTCAAACAGTCGCAGAACACAATCTCGAAACACCATCGATGCTCGCACCGATCGATCGTCAGCAATCTCTACCTCTAACGGGCAATCTAACTCGCCTGAAGTCTCATGAAATCTCTTGCTAAGAGCCAGAGAAACGAACGATCGGGATGCACCCGAGTCGAACAATACCTGAACCGGGATGCCGTTCACATGGAACGATCCTAATACACATGTATACACACGGAGCACATATCAATATCATAACAACATAAAACAAAAGATAGAAAGAAAGAATCATACCCGTCACCACATCGGGCGCGGCGCGTGCCTCCTCGGCAGTCAACTGAAATGCCCGACTCCTCACTACTGGAGCCTCTGCCTTGCCCTGCCGACCATCCGTGATCCGCAGGGTCGCTGGAGCCGGCGCCTTCACTGGCGCTGCAACTGACAACTGGGGGCAATTGGCCTTCTTGTGGCCCCTCTGGTTGCAGTGAAAACACAGCAACTCGGATGTCTGAATAGCTGAAACTGGAGCAGTACAATCCCTGCTAAAGTGCCCTGTCTTGCCGCACTTGTAGCAGCCTCCTGATCCCATCCTACATATCCCCACGTGCGTCCTGCCGCATTTCCCGCAGCGGCTCGATCCTGAATGACCTTTCGGTCTACCGTCTGATCCCTTGGGCTTCTTCCCCGAAGCCCCTCCTGCCTGACCGTCCTCTAGTTTCCGTTTCCGGATGTGCTCCAAATCTATCTCTCTCTCCCTAGCCCTGGCAATCATAGAGTCCAGGGTAGGGCAAGCCGAAAAGCTAACATGCTCCCGGATGTCAGCTCGTAGCATATCATGGTAACGAGTCCTCCTCATATCCTCGTCACCGGCATACTGGGGCACCAATAAAGCCCTCTCCCGGAACTTGGCGGTGATCTCCGCCACAGTCTCCGTCGTCTGCCTCATGTCTAGAAACTCCCTGGCCAGCTGCTGAAGCTCGACCGCCGGTGCAAACTCTGCCCTGAACCTAGTCACAAAGTCCGACCAGGTCATTGCCTCGATAGCCGAGGCTCCCAACGAGTCACCCACTGACTCCCACCAATCCCGGGCTCGGTCCCGTAAACACCCTGCTGCGTACCTCACCTTCGACCCCTCGGGGCAGAAGCTAGTCAACTGGGCAGACTCGATATCCGCAATCCACCGCCTGGCGACAATGGGGTCCTTCACCCCATGGAAATCCGGCGCACCACTGCCCCTGAAGTCCTTGAAGGACAGTGTGCGAGATCCTGACTGGCTAGAGGCTAAATCGCTCCTGAATGCCCGTAGGCGATCCTCCATCAACTCCATAATCCCTTCCTTGATCGACCCAAAGAGGATGGGGGTCGACTCAAGGATGCCCCTGGTGATCTCCGACGTGATGAACTCACGTAGCCTCTCATCAATCGGCTCGGTGCCTGATCCCGAACCTGACCCCTCTCCTGACCCGCCATCTGTCGGTCTCGGTCGAAGTACCACCATTCTGCAAAACATCATAATAATCATTAGTGATACTGCTACTTTCTGAGGGATCTCAACTACTTACAGGTTCCTTGGTCTCGTCTTGGCCTTCCTCGGCTAGGGTACGGATCCTCTGCTTTCAGTAGTACGGGCCCATACTACCTTCCACATCTATCCGTACCTTCTCCGAGAAGTTCCTCGACTTTACCAGATCCCCTTTACTACTGCTACTCCCTGCTATTCTCATCCTAGGCTTGCCCTAGGGAAAACTCAAGTTCAACACGACTGGGCCTCAGCTGCTGTAGGTCTCCTCATAATGCCAGTTAGCCACCACCTAAACACCATCACATGTGATGAGGATTAGATAATCCTTCAAGTAAAAGATCCGTCCCTACAACGGTTGGACTCAAACAAGAGCTGCGCAATAGGGCCAGTTCCAGTACTTTGGGATTATTCAAACCTGATTACATGTGGTGTGACGTGTTCACCTAGTGGCTAACTCCCATTACTCAGAACCCCACCAAGCACGAAGCAAGCAGCATTCGGTTAAGGGGAAACAGACTCAAGCCAAAACTATTCTTATAACAAGAAACGGCACTAGCATAAGATGCTAAGCTCATACTATCAGGCATAACCTAAACAGGCTATCCTACTGCTGTCTACTCAATTCTAGCATGCAATACTCATAAAGCTGTAACACATAAGCAGGCACATAAGGCATCACTCCTAGATCCTTAGCCCTATTCTAGCATGCGGTTCTACGTAAGCTGATAAACATAACATAAACTTGTATGGGTACTATGGGGAATACTTACTTGAGCTCGGCCGGTCGCGCACGTCACACACTTCGCTCTTTCTTATGACTCTTTTCCGAGTTTTTAGAGAACATTTTCTTTTGGAAAATCTTTCAATCCCACGATTTGAGTTCAGACTCCCGAAGGCGTGTCCGAATCCCTCAAACCAGGGCTCTGATACCAACTTGTAACGACCCAATTTTCATGTCCAAAAATTTCATTTTAAAATATTACTTTTAGAAAACATTAATAAATAAAAACATTGTTTGATCACGCCATAACACATCGCAAACCATGTTTTAATAATCAAACCATACAACCCATCAAATATCAGAGTACAATCCCAGTGAATCTCGTAAATGCGGAAACCGAAGAGTGTGTGTGTGACATGCTGCTACCGTGCCGGCTCCTTTCCCCTAGCTGAGGAGGTACCTGAAACCAAAACTGAAACCGTAAGCACAAAGCTTAGTGAGCTCCCCCATAATACCCCATACCATACAGCATATAACAAATAACATGCAATTAGGAGATACGGGCCCCGCCCACACTCGTGAAGATACGGGCCCCGCCCACACCTCACTTTCTGAGAGATACGGGCCCCCCACACTCGTGAAGATACGGGCCCCGCCCACACTTCGCTACCTGGGAGATACGGGCCTAGCCCACACTCCATTCTCGGAGGGATACGGGCCTCGCCCACACCCAACCGTCAACACATATCATACAAGTATCACGCAGACAACAAGTGTAAACAGTTCTATCATACTGGTATATATCACAATCAACTCGACTAATAGATACGGGCTCGGCCCACACTATAATACTATCGTCTCATCTATACGGGCCGGCCTTGGTGCCTTAGACCCGTTACTACTGAAAGGAAACTCACCTCGAAATAGCTGCTGGTCTGTGTGGGAATTGATCACCTACTACTGCTGCTGCTGCTCCGGAAACTCCCCGGCTGTAATTCCCACAATATACTTAATCATACACTGCTAACTGTCCTTGGGTAAAAAGACCATTTTACCCCTGGTCTAGCCCTAAGTCAAATCGAAGTCAACTTTTAGTTGACCCGACTCGCCGAGTGGATCTCCACTCGCCGAGTCCCTAGCAAACTATTGTCCTGGGTCCCTGATTCTACTCGTCGAGTTGGGCTATGACTCGACGAGTTCATCTTCTAAACTGTCATTCAACTCCTTCATCCTACTCGCCGAGTTGTATGAACAACTCGTCGAGTTCATCTTCATCCGAAGAACACATATGCTAAGACTCGCCGAGTTGTATGAACAACTCGCCGAGTCTGTTCTTGATCTATGAAGATTGCCTTGGACTCGCCGAGTCAGGCATTGACTCGCCGAGTCCTATCATGAGTGAGTCCAGCTTTCAACTCACCGAGTCACCCCCTGTGACTCACGGCTCAACTCGATACGTCTAAAAGGGACCAATTTGGTGACTCGCGAGCCGACTCGCCGAGTCACATGAACGACTCGCCGAGTCGTCGCCATGCATCCACTAGATACACCGATTTGTTTGATTTCAGTCCATGCCATTCATAGATCTGGGCTTCTAAGACACGAATCATACGTAAAGTTTCCAACTTTACGTGTGGATCTTCACTAATATGGATTTTAGGGTCCAAAATGCCTCAAAAAGGGTAGATCTAGGATGAACAAGCCACATGGGTCCATAAAGCTAACAGATCTGAGCTCTTGGAGCTCAATCTTGTCTAGATCTAAAGGCCAACCCACTTATTACGAAACATTAAGCACAAACAAGTTTGGGGAATGGCTCAAGAGTGCCTTAAATGAAATCTTAAGCATAGAAACAGGGGGAAAACGAGATATACCTCAATGAAACCTGCTGAAAAACACAATGATGCTTGGATGGCTCTCCTTCCTCTTGATCTCTTTCCCCTCCTTGCCTCAAAACCTTCAAGAATCCACACAAGAGCCTCAAATTCACAAGAAACAAGCTTAGGACGAGGGTTGGGAGCTCTGGGGGTGAATGGGGGCTGGCAAGAGGCAGATATGAGGTTTAAATAGGGTGCAAACCCCTGAAACTTAGGGTTTCATCCAACAGCGGTGACTCACCGAGTCCAGGATATGGACTCGCCGAGTCGCCCACTTAAACGTGTCCCGAGTCTCGTCCCTACTCGGCGAGTCAAACCTTGTGACTCGCCGAGGCCAAGGCTAAAATAGGGCAATACTCAAATAAAATTCACATACCGGAAACCAGGTGCTACATGAACTTCTCAGCATCTTCAATCATTTTCTCTATCTCCTGCGTTGACAATCTTCCACAAAGATTGGTAACAGTAAGTTTTTCAGTCTTACCAATGGATACTACTTTAGATGTAATGGTGAGGATACCATTATAATCTTTTCAAAGAAATCGTCTACTTCTGAGACTCCTTTAGGAGCACGTGGTATTCCATATATTTTAAATGATCCCAACAAATGGTTATCAGTAGATTTGGACTGCTCGCCTTCATACACCTTCACATTTATACTAGTTAGGTTGTATTTTGTTATAACAAAATTCTTAGTTATCTTTGTAGGTATAGATGTATTCTTTGGGATCACAATGCTCATTTTTTTTCTCCTTTTGTCTCAACACCAAGTGATAAGGGAGGGACATCAAGTAACACCAAATCCTTTACCATTTTGGTAGTTTCACCACATAACTTTGCAGCCATAATTGCCGCCCCATAATCAACGGTTTCATTCGGGTTGATCTTCTTGCATAACTCATTTCCATCAAAGAATTCCTGCAACATACGTTGGACTTTGGTATCCTAGTTGATCCACCTACAAGAATCACCTCATCTACACATCCTTTGGTCAAATTCGCATAACCTAAACACGACTCAAGTTGCTCAATACACTTTGTAAAAAAACTGATATTAAGCTCTTCAAATTTGGCACTACTAATTTCCATTGAAAAGTCGATACCATTATGCAACAATTCGTTATCAATTGATGCTCGAGTTGCATACGAAAGAATTCTCTTTGCTTTCTCACATTTAGTTTTAAACCTTCCTAACTCTCTATTCTTTCCAAAAAAATCTATGTTTAATTTCCACTTAAAATCATCAACACAGTAACTCACCATACAGTTATCAAAATCATCTCCACCTAGATGAGTGTCACCAGCAACAACCTTAACCTCAAACACACCCACTTCATCAATGGTGAGAACAGAGACATCAAAAGTGCCACCACCGACATCAAATATAACCACATTCCTCTTCCCAGTAAGCCCCAACATGTTGTCTATACCATAAGCAATTGCAGCTGTTGTTGGCTTGTTGATTATGCGCATGACATTTAGGCCAGCGATAGTAGCAGCATCCTTTGTTTCCTAACATTGACCATCATTGAAATAAGTTGGGACTATGATGACAACATTTTTAACAGTAGTACTAAAGAAATGTAAACTACAAAGTTTTTTCATTTAAACTGTGAATACGATCAGAAAAACGCTGTTAAATATGGTGTTAGTCTGACGATGGTCCAGAGGCGGTTCGACCACAATTCCACCGTGGTACGGCGATAGGTGGCAACTAGTTATAGATTAGGGACTGAAAATTTTTAATTAAAACAATATAAATTTTGGATTTGTCCAAAATACCTTAATCAAAACATTTAAAAAAATGGTTCCCAGGGTTCTTAACTTTTTTGAATTCTTATTTGAACCACTATATATATATATATATATATATATATATATATATATATATATATATATATATATATATATAGACACACATACACACACACATGGAAATTTGCCCTTTGTGATATCCAAAGTTGCTAAGTAAGAGAGAATGACTAAGACTAAAGACTTGTACTATTTTGTCCTATTTTTTTTGTTCATTGTAATAGTAGTAGGCTACAAGATCAACTATAACTCATTGCCACACATTTGATTTGTAGTACCTGTTTTACTTTATTATCTCATTTTGTCTATTGTTCTCCTACGTAGTATAAGCATGAATATCAACCATGTAATCAGTACTTCTTTGATCAATCAAGAGTTTCATCTATCATTTTGTCGTTCTATCATTCTCTTTGCTCATTTTTTATACTTTACTTTAAGACTTTGCACTGAATATGTGATTATTATTGTTCTTCATCCTTCAGAATTGACTATTTTTATCCATACTTGATTGGAATATGTTATTAGCCTTCATTACTGTTGTTCACTCAAGGTTTAAGTAATTAAACCTTTTATAGAAAAATCCTTATGATATCTTGTGATTCATCAATTGTTATCAGAGCTTGAGTGGTTGTCTTTTGAATCCATGAGATCAGATTATTATTGGTTAAGAATACCTTGGTTTCTTAAACATTTTTATATCAGCATAAAAGTTCTACTATATACCAACTGTGCACAAAACAACACAAAATGGCTGCTTCTAACCCAAATCAATGATTGTATTTAGTTCATATCACTAATAGTATGGGTTGCCCAATGTGAGCCCTATTACTGATAGTCAAAAAATATTATCATTGGAAGATGAGAATGGGAAGATTCTTAAAAGGAGATGAGTACGACATGTTTATAAGTTCTCCTGGTGAATATGTAGGCTTTACAACAAATGGTTAGCAGATTTTGTGAATAACGTGATAACTCAGGGAATAACAATAAGTCAAATCGAGCACAATTTGAAGGTCATCAACAACCTTGGAAATTTGGGGTAATATTAAGTCTTATCTCCAAATTAATGGTTTGCTCAATAGGTTGACCATGTTTCATCTTTTTGACGAGCTACAAGGACATGAATCGAACATTGCTCAAACTATTTGTTAGTTATATGGATGACCAATGGCTCTCGTAATCATTGTTATCGCACCTCCTCCAAGCTATGCTTCTTCGGATCCATCTCTCTCGACTCCACCTTCCGAAGAGATCTATGATCTTGAAGCTGCAGGACATGAACTTCGATTTCATCAAGATTTTGCGTTGCTAAACATGAAATATAACATACATTAATGGGCAAACAACCATAAACACTTTCCCAGTAGACCTCAACCTTCATATCCCGCACCTCATAAAACCAAATCTGATTCCTACTCAAAACCTCCAGAAAAACAACCATCCTACCTACCAGCCTATCTGAACAACCTACCTCATTTTTCCCATCTGACACCTTCTTCCGAAAAACCAAGGTTGTATGTTACAAATGTAGGCTTGGAAATCACTACACTAGAGATTGTCAAGCTAATCCTCCAGTTAAACCTAAGGTCAACGACTTTACTTACTACACTAGAAAGTGCCCAAGAGCTAGTTAGGAGTACGAACACATTTATTGCCACTGCCTCACGAAATGTGGATGGGTACCAGTCATCAGGTAATGAAAAAGAGTGTGACGATGGAAGAAATATGTGTCTCGTGGCTCAACACAAAGTGGAATGTGATGAAGCAGAATTTATAGCATCTAATAATGCAACATGTCATGGCATATAGATAAGTAGGTTGTTTGGTGTGTTCACCTAAATAAAAGTTGGTCTATTTGAATTGAATGTGGATAACATGCGAGATCTGGATTTGATGAAAAATCCAATCTTTCATGGAAGAAGTAAACACATTGACTCAAGGTTTCACTTCATTCATGAGTGCATAGAATGAGATGATGTTACAGTAAAACATCGGAGTACAAATAAGCAAAACAGGTGACATCTTAACCAAGTCTATGAACCAACTGAAGCTTGAGGAAATGCAAAAGTTTCTTGGAGTGAAAGACATGAAGATTCCAGATTAAGGGAGAATTTTGGAGTAATCTAGAAGATAGAAGAAGATAGAAGGAGTCTAGGAAGTTTTAGTCTAGTTATGGTAAGTTTAGTTTGAATTAGATTAGGTGTCTACTTTCTGGTTGCATAAGCAAATTTTATTTTGTCAGATAAATAGTTGTAGTTGTCTTTCTATTTTTATAATAAGATAAGCTTAACTTTTAAGAATTCTATTTTTCTCCTCGTCTCTAATATTTCTTATTTTTCCTTCTTGTTCTAGCCATTGCTTTGTTTTTAAGCAATTTTTTTTTTGGTGTGTGTGTTAAAACCAACACTTTCCCTCCTTAAAAAAATCTCCAAAACAACTTTTTCTACCCCTTTCATTCCTTTTATTTCCTAAAAAAAACTTGGAGAAAAGGTTGTACCTATTTTGGAAAGAAGGTAACTACTATGTATCTTTGATCACCAGGTCATGTGCTTCAACCTTGTTCATCGACAATTGATCCCTTCACCTCTTAAGGAGTATATAACATATTTACATTCATCCTTCCTTCAATTTACTATACTTTGTATGGAACAAAAATGAATATGAAAAACGTTATATTTTCAAGGCCAACTCCTTTAATTTACTAGCTTTTGTATGGAATAAAAATGACTTTGAAGAAACTTTATATCTTCACGGCGGGTTAATGACTAGGGGGTAATAAGGTTTTAACTTTGTATACATAAGGTCCTTAAGGTTTTTTTGTACATATTACACCAATGTGGCTGTTAAAACTATTTAACAAGGGTAATATGGTCTTAGTTTTGTCCATATTAGGTTCCTAAGGTCCTTTTTTGTATATATTACACCAACATGGTTGTTATAACCGTTTAGAAAAAGGTAATAAGGTTTAACTATCTCCAAATTAGGTCATTATTTTTAATATTTTTATCATTTCATTTAACTCTTTTTACAAATTATATTAGTATCTAGTTAGATGACTTCATCATTTCATCTTTTCATTTTAATCGCCCATTCACCACAACAACGATTTCAACCGAACTGTTACATAACATTTCTTTCATTTTTATGAAAAAAAAATACCTAATAATAATGAAGGTTGTAACGCCCGCAGATCTGGGCTAGTTAATTTAGAGATAATAGGGGTCGAAAACAACATTTCTACAAAAGATTATATAGAATAAATAATCTTAACCAAGTTGTATAATATGTCTCAAGGGTTCCGTACATATAAAGAACGCCGAAATCCGAGTTATAAAGAAGAAGTTATGGCCCGTCGAAGTTTTACGGCAAAACTGGCACGACACTAGGAGACTTAAATAGTGAGTTTATGATAGAACGACTTTTAGCCTTAGTAATATAAATGAAAGTCGTAGAATATGTTAACCGGAGAGCATCCATAAAAACAACGCCCAAATCTGACTTCATATGAGGAAGTTATGATTTTTGAAATTTCAGCTTATCAGTGTACGACCCGAAACTCGAATTTTAGTTCGAGTGGTTTTTGGCTTATGTGACCTAAATGAGAGTTGAAGATCTCATTAATAGGGATGCAAAGGTAAAAAGACAGACGAAAACGGAGTCCGTATGAAGGAGTTACGAATTCTTCATGGTCATTTAACAGTCTAAACTCCTCCTACTGTTAAATTTAAGATCGTTCGAGAATTAGCCAACAGAGTCTATATGAAATTTGTAGATCTTGTTTTTACCTATGCGTGAATATAAAGAACGTCGAAAATGGAGCTCGTATGCAAAAGCTACGGGGTTTAGAAGTTGGCAGAGTGCTGCTGCAAAAGGGGTGACGTGGTTGAATATGGGCCACGGCTTTCTCCCCAAGGCAAGCTACTAAAAGGTGACATGTGGCATGGAATCGATGAGTAGGAGGACCTACTCGACGAGTAGAGCTATTTTCCAGCATATAAATACATGTTTCGGGTTCCTCCATTCCTCACACATTTCCAAACCATTCTTTCTCTCTCTAGACTCTCTCTCTCTAGCCCCTAACCCCCTTAAAAGCCTAGGTAAACCACCTAGCACCCGATGGAAACCCCGAGGCTCCCGAAGTCCCGAGAGAAGACCATTTCGGCTCAGGAATGCTGCTCCGGCGAAGCCCAATTTTTGAGAAAACCCACTGTAAGTGAGTTATGCTTACCCTATCCTTAAAATAACTTATGGTTCAATATAGTAAAGTTATTTAGGACCTTATAAGGTGTATTTGGGCTTTTATTATGGGTTATATAAGTATTGTTTAACACTTATATAATAGTAATAATAGCTAGGCTATTAAACTAGTCTCGTCAAATGTTAGACTAAACTCTAGTGGTAATGATACTGGGTTTCGTCAAGGGATAATTGTTTTAAGAGTAACGAAGTGATGTCCGAGTGCCTACTCACCACCTTACCAGGTGAGTGCATGGTCCCTCTCATCTTACACATAGATATGAAGTATTTAGTATAAAGTACGTGTTATGTGCACATATTGTCTGAATACTTGCTGTCTATGTCAGGTGAAATATTTTATTACACGTTTTTAAATGATTTAAACTGTATATGTATTTTATATCTACAAAAATGTGTTGGGTAAAACATGGGTAGATGTAATAGTTTTTGTGTGACCAAATAAAATAATGAGAGGCCTCATTATAGATGTTATTGATGATCCAGTCATCTAGTGGAGTATAGATGACAACCACAGACTATTCTAGATAGTCCAGTGGAATGCTAGCAGGCTTGCAACATGTGGCTGTTTATTTGAACTGTGTGTTTATTTGAACTGTGTGCTCACTAGTAGTACTCCATTCCCCACATGGTTGCCTTATTTTACATGAATTGATGAGGAATCTCCGAAGCATGTGTTGTCACGCTGATGAAAGTCCTTAGACTAGGTCCCTTGTGTTAGATGTGTTAGGGGTGTAAAGTGAGGATAACGAGAACAGGTAATCGGGTTTGTTTGGTCTGATAAAGTTAATAAACTTATTTATTGTTGGTTGAAAACCCTATGTGCTCACCAGGCTCCCAAGCCTGATCTACTCAGTTTTGTGAATTACTGGTAGTGGCGCGTGAGCATAGATGTTTGGATGAGAGATAAGGGATTATAGGCCTGTAAATACGAAATAATGTAGTAAGGCTTATGTTGTATTTTTTATGCTTTTGATCTATATCGAACATGACATCTTGAGTCTTTTAATGAAATACATTTCTTTGGAAATGATTTTGATAAATCTTTATCATATTTTGCTTTGGGACAAATTCCGCAAAACTTTTATTTAAAATGTTACTCTGATTTTCAAACAAAGCATAAACAAAAATCGGTCTTTTCTGGCCGTGAAAATGGGGATGTCACAGTTGGTATCAGAGAATTAGTTTAAGCGAACTAGGAATAATGATTTATTTCTAGACTTAAACTTAGAATGCTAAGCGATGATTGTGAGGAGTGTGTCTAATATATTTTAAGAAGTACACTAGAGTAGACTCAAGCACTAGCTTATTTAGGGAAAATGCCTAACATGCTTTTATGTGCTAAATGATTTGTTATGCTTTATGCTATTGTTTGATCGGATCTATGGCCTGTTGCCGACCGGATCTGCAAATTTTATGTGTTCAGATTTCTAAATGTTTAATTACGGTGTTAGAATTGACATGTAACTTTGCGGAGTAATAAGGAGGAATACGCATCTAAATCTTCCTCTATCTATATTCTCGTCTCTATACACCGAACGCCTGCTTTGGTGTGCAAGAACATCATGGTGAAGAATCCTAGTGAATTTAGTAAATGGAGGAAATGAGAAGGCTTACGATAGTGAATGATACCTATCATAAGATATCTAAATAGGTAATATGTATGGTACATGAGAAGTACACCTTTAATTGGCGGGAAGAAAGAATTTTGGTATAATCAATGGAGTTATCCCATCGTCTGACAATTTCATCACCAACCAAGTGAAGTGTAATTGATGATTGAAGATACGCATGGAAGAAGTCCAAGTAGAGTCTCGGGAAAATTATATGATTGTGTGGACACATTTGTATGTGTTAAAATTGTTTATGTGATAATAACTTGGAAAACTGCGAGACAATACTTGGTACGAGTATGAGTAGGTGTGAATGGTAGTAGAGGCCTATACTACCAAGAAGCACAGAACTCATGCTTGGATCAGGTAAAGTCACAAGGTTACCAAGAAGCTACTAAATGATACCATTTTATTCAAGTATGTCGTTACCATCGTTTCGGTAATGACTAAGAAGATGATTGTTATTCCGACCATAGTGGTCATATCAAATCAAGTCCAACTAAGATGAATATGCTACGTGGTTCAGAGAACTAAGTTTAATGTACCATCTGACTTAAGCCGGAAGATTGAAATAAAAGATAATCGAAGCGACCAATAGGAGTATCGCGAATCGCCGTTAAAGTAAGAAGTTTGTAGCTAGAAATAATACATGCTAGAATGTGATTATATCACATTAGAACATGAAGGAAAGTGTATTCCATTCCCGAATTTGACTCTAAGAGACCTGAGTATAAGCATTGCGACCACACGATGATAAGTCATTGGAACAAGATCCATCGGTCTATCGTGAAAATCAAACAACATATCTTAATTTGTTATGAATAATAAGGAGTCTCCGGTAAGGATCAAGATTGTGACATGAAGGTCATAATTTGGATTCTAACGTGAGATAGGGAGCAGGTGCAAGATCAAGCACCGCCTACAGTCAGAAAGCCTTAGAGTTAAATACTCGTTCAAAGAAACATATAAGTTACGATTATTACCTAGGATGAAGAGATAATGTATGGAGTCATTATACTGCCCTGTTTTGTTGATGATTCTGAGACGTAATCATCCTAAGGGGGAGATAATTGTAACGTTTGCAGATTCGGGCTAGTCAATTTAGAGATACTAGGGGTCGAAAATGACTTTTTGACAAAAGATTATTTAGAATAAATAATCTTACTTAAGTTGTATAATATGTCTTAAGGGTTTCATACATATAAAGAACGCCAAAATCCGAGTTATAACGAAGAAGTTATGGCTCGTTGTAGTTTTACAGCAAAATCGGCACAACACTGGGAGACTTAAACTGTGAGTTTATGATAGAACGACTTTTAGCCTTAGTAATCTAAATGAAAGTCGTAGAATATGTTAACCTGAGATCATGCATAAAAAGAATGCCCAAATCCAACTTCGTATGAGGAAGTTATGATTTTTGAAGTTTCAGCATAGCAGTGTACGACCCGAAACTCGAATTTTAGTTCGAGTGGTTTTTGGCTTACGTGACCTAAATGAGAATTGAAGATCTGATTAATAGGGACGCAAAGGTGAAAAGACAGATGAAAATGGATTCCGTATGAAGGAGTTACGAATTCTTCGTGGTTATTTAATAGTCTAAACTCGTCCTACTGTTAAATTTAAGATCGTTCGAGAATTAGCCAATAGAGTCTATATGAAATTTGTAGATCTTGTTTTTATCTACGCATGAATATAAAGAACGTCGAAAACAGTGCTCGTATGCAAAAGCTACGGGGTTTAGAAGTCGGCAGAGTGCTGCTGCAAAAGGGGTGATATGGCTGAATATGGGCCACGACTTTCTCCCCAAGGAAAGCCACCAGAAGGTGACATGTAGCATGGAATCGACGAGTAGGAGGTCCTACTCGACGAGTATAGATATTTCCAAGATATAAATACATGTGCCAGGTTCCTCCATTCCTAACACCCTTCCAAACCATTCTTTCTCTCTCTAGAATCTCTTTCTAGCCCCCTAAACCCCCACCCGTAAAAGCCTAGGTAAACCCCTAGTACCTGAAGGAAGCCCTGAGGCTCCCGAAGTCCCAAGAAAACAGCCTTTCGGCTCGGGAATGCTGCTCCGGCGAAGCCCGGTTTTCGATAAAACTCGTTGTAAGTGAGTTATGCCTACCCTATCCTTAGTATAGCTTATGTTTCAATATAGTAAAGTTATTAGGACCTTATAAGGAGTATTTGGGATGTTATTATGGGTTATATAAGTATCGTTTAACGCTTATATAATAGTAATAATAGCTAGACTATTAAATTAGTCTCGTCAAACGTTAGACTAAACTCTAGTGGTAATGATACTAGGTTTCGTCGACGGATAAATATTTTAAGAGTAACGAAGTGATATCCGAGTGCCTACTCACCACCTTACCAGGTGAGTGCATGTTCCCTTTCATCTTACACATAGATATGAACTATTTAGTATAAATTACGTCTTATGTGCACATATTGTCTGAATACTTGCTGTCTATGCCGGGTGAAATATTTTATTACACGTTTTTAAATGATTTAAACTATATATGTATTTTATATCTACAAAAATGTGTTGAGTAAAACATGGGTAGACGTAATAGTTGTTGTGTGACCAAATAAAATAATAAGAGGCCTCGATATAGATGTTATTGATGATCCAGTCGTCTAGTGGAGTATAGATGACAACCACGGACTATTCTAGACAGTCTAGTGGGATGCTAGCAAGCTCGTAACCTGTAGGTGTTTATTTGAACTGTGTGCTCACCAGCAGTACTCCATCCCCCATATGGTTGCCTTATTTGACATGAATTGCTGAGGAATCCCCGAAACATGTGTTGTCACCCCGATGAATGTCCTTAGACTAGGTCCATTGTGTTAGATGTGTTAGGGGCGTAAAGTGAGGATAACGGGAACGGTAATCGGGTTTTTTTGGTCTGATAAAGCTAATAAACTTATTTATTGTGGGTTGAAAACCCTATGTGCTCACCAGACTCCCAATCCTGACCCACTCAGTTTCTTGCATTACCGGTAGTGGCGCATGAGCATAGATGTTTGGATGACAGATAATGGATTATAGGCCTATAAATACGAAATAATGTAGTAGGGCTTATGTTGTACGGTTTATGCTTTTGATGTGTATCGAACATGACATCCCGAGTCTTTTAATGAAGTAAAGTTATTTGGAAATGATTTTGATAAATCTTTATCATATTTTGTTTTGGGACAAATTCCGCAATACTTTTATTTAAAATGTTACTCTGATTTTCAAACAAAGCATAAACAAAAATCGGTTTTTTCGAGCCGTGAAAATGGGGATGTCACATAAGTGTTAATGATTAAAACTATGTTTGGCATCATAGCTACCTTATAAGCTAGTTTATTTTTTGATATTTTTTAAGTTGTCATGTTTGGAAAGCCAAAAAGTAGCTTATAAACTAGCATTTTAAAAGTTACTTAAACTACTTTTTTAAGAGTTTTTTTTTTTAATTTCCAAACATACCTCTTAATTAATTAAAAAACCATATTTTTTAAATGCCATTTTATGTCATTATATAAATTTCGGATCCTTATAAGTCAGTGTCAGAGATAGAGTCAAAGTAAAAGAGCATCTTCGACAAGTAATGAGGTATCCCAGATAAGTAATTGCGTATCGGGGATACCCAATTGGCGGAACCATTATTTATCGGAGATATCCCATTACTTTTTGTGGATACTCTTTTACTTTGACCTGACTCCGCCACTGGCTTACGTAACCTTTTGATTGAAACTGTGGTTGTGGTGAATGAGCGACTAAAATGAGAAGATGAAATGATGAAGCCATCTAAATAGATATTAATATAAATTGTAAAAGAGTTAAATGATAAACATATTCAAAATAGAGATCTAATGTGAACATAGTTAAACCTTATTACCCTTCTTTAAACGGTTATAACAATCATGTTGGTATATTATGTACAACAAAAGACGTTAGGGACCTATTGGAAAAAACTTAAAACCATATTACATGTTTTAAAAGGTTATAACAATCATGTTGGTGTAATATGTACAAAAAAACCACAAAGACTTAATTTGAACAATCATGTTGGTCATTAACCCTTTTCAGGGCGAATGCTTTGTTTTCAATAAAATTGTTTTTTGTGTTAAAACCTAAACTTCCCTCCTTAAAAAAAATGCTAAACTCCATAACATTTTTTCATCCCATTTCATTCCTTTTATTTCCTTAAAAAAACTTGAGAACAGGTTATATATGCTTTGAAAATAGGTAACCAACCATGTATCTTTGATCAGCAAGTCATGTGCTTCAACCTTGTTCATTGACAATTGATCCAACTCTTAAACTATATAACATTCATCATTCTTTTGACTTACTATTTTTTGTATGGAATAAAAATGAATTCGAAAAAGCTTTACATTTTCAGCGCCAATTCCAAAAATTTACTAGCTTTTGTATGGAATAAAAATGACTTTGAAGAAATGTTATATATTTAGGGCCAATTGCAAAAATCTCCTTTATATTTAATTTATCTATTTCTTTTGAAGACACAAAAAAATTTCAATAATATCTAAACACCAATTTACCATCAAAAAGTAAATCTTCAAAATCCATTCATATGTTGATATGGATCTTCTCAACGACTTCTAACACCATGTAATAATAATCCCAGCTAACTTTAATCTAGACTGTTGGCATGCCAAAAAAAACCCGGTTAAGTTAATTTGGAAATATAAACCTACATACCAAATTGACCAGGTACTTCATCCTGCGCTCAATCTCTTCAACCTCTGCAACTCTGCCTTGAGAGAGCCATTGCATCATTTCAGCAAGTGCATAATGCATGTTGTTCAAATCCTTTGGGGGCACATCATTACTTCTGATCTTCTCCCTTAAGTAATGTATGCCATCATCCAAGCCATTGTACGCTTGTGCCTTCCTTTTGAATTGTTGGTCCTCAAGCTTGAACTTCTCGGCATCTTTCATCATTTTGTCTACCTCTTGCTTCGACAATATTCCACCATAATTAGTAACAGTAAGTTTTTCCGTCATGCCAGTAGATACTATCTTAGCCGTAAGTGTGAGTATACCATGATCATCTATTTCAAAGCATACTGATATTACTGAGACTCCCTTCGGAGCAGGTGGAATTCCAGAAACTACAAAGGAACCCAACAAGTAGTTGTTAGTAAATTTGGACCGTTCACCTTGGTAAACTGGGATCCTTCCACTAGATTGGTTGTCTACAATTGTAAACAAAATTGTACTAATCTTCGCAGGTATAGGAGTGTTCCTTCTGATGACAACCGTCATTATATCACCTTTTGTCTGGACGCCAAGTGATAAGGGAGTGACATCATATACCATCATCTCCTTTACAATTTTCGTAGTTTCACCAGACAAGTTTTCAGCCATAATTGCTACCCCATAAGCCACAGCTTCATATGGGTTAATGTTCTTGCATAACTCCTTCCCATCAAAGAAATCATGCAACATTAGTTGTACCTTTGGTATCCTAGTTGACCACCAACAAGAATCACCTCATCTATATTTCCTTTAGTCATATTCGCATCAACTAAACATGACTCCATGTAACACCGTAAAATTTAAAACAAAATTTTTTCATTTTTAAACACACTTTTCCAAACACATTGATTGATAAAACCCCGTTGTATCATACTTTGTTTCACAAATATTTCCCAAGATCAAAATACATAAAAACCCATGCGTGTGTACGAATCATGCCGGCACCTTCCTGCGATCGTCACTGGTACCTGAAACACATAACACATAACATTGTAAGCATAAAGCTTAGTGAGTTCCCCAAAATACCATACATAACACATACTAGCCACTCGAAACTATAACTTTGTGGGCCCGTGGGCCCTAACTTTATGGACCCTCTAGTCCTAACTCTATGAACCTTTCGGTTCTAACTCTGATACACTCTAATATACACATGATATAAAAAACATAGCAATAATGCAGTAAAACACATCACACAATAGCATACAATAACTCTGTCACATAACTCTAATTATCACTTAAGGTAAAGTATAGTGAGAAGACTCACCTCAGATGTCCCGGTAAATCACTGACTCGGTAGAAATACGATCTAGCCTCCGCCTAAACACATAAAGTAATACTCTCATAAATATAACTCTCAGAACTAGACTCAACGCTCTCTACACACCCTCAGAAGGGTAAAAGACCATTTTACCCCTCCTTTGGCTCAAAGGCCCTCATTGTTGACCAAACCCTAAAAGTCAACTAAAGTCAACGGTCAAACTTTGACCCAACTCTTCGAGTACACTTGGGCAACTCGGTGGGTCCTTATGTGTCCACTAACTCTTTAGTCCCATTTAACGCGTCAAGTCCCTCCCTTTACTCAACGAGTCCCCATGTATGAATCGCGGGGCCACCCCTACTCAACTCGTTGAGTCTAAAGAACAACTCAGTGAGTACATGCCATGCACAAACTCCATTGACCTCCTGAGGTCATATCTATTCCTCTAATCCATAGATCTGGCCTTCCCAAGCATAATAATCACGTAAAGTCTAGAGTTCTCTCAAGGGACTGGTATCCGCAATGGGGGACTATGATAGAAAGATCAAATATAGCTTCTCCTTCCTCCTAAATGACCTCCTGAGGTCATATCTATTGCTCTTGACCACCTTTTTCTTGCTAAACCAAAGATAGAAAGATCAAATATAGCTTCTCCTTCCTCCTAAATGATTTAGCTCACTTAGGGTTCTCTCAAGGGACTGGTATCCGCAATGGGGGACTATGAGTGCCCTTAAATAGGCTCCAACCTTGGGGGATTAGGGTTTCATTAAACAGCGTGGACTCGCCAAGTCCATTCGTGAACCCAGATGATAATCCGCGACCCTACTAGGCGTGTTTAAGCATCAACTCGCCGAGTTTCTTCACAAATTCCAAAAATAAAAATATTAGAATAATATAACTGGGAATCCGGATGTTACAATTCTCCCCCACTAGAATCAGACTTCTCCCTCGAAGTCTCATTCTGCAAAAAACTCTGGATGCTTCTCACGCATCTCGCGCTCCGGCTCCCAAGTCAGCTCTGACCCTTTCCTATGCTGCCACTGCACCTACACCAGAGGCACTTCCTTGTTCCTCAGAACCTTGACCTTTCGATCTCTAATTGCCACCGGTCTCTCAACATAGTTAAGGCCCACATCCACCTAAATATCCTCTAACGGTACCACTGTTGACTCGTCGGCTATACACTTTCTCAACTGCGACACGTGAAAAGTATCGTGAATCTGACCCAACTCCGCGGGTAGCTCCAAATGGTAGGCTACCCTACCTACTCTCGCGATCACCCTGAAAGGTCTAATATATCGAGTCCCCAGCTTTCCCCTCTTCCTGAATCGGATCACTCCTTTCCAAGGAGAGACCTTCAGAAGCATGAAGTCACTGACCTGAAACTCGAGCTCGGACCGATGCCTGTCCGCATAACTCTTCTGAAGACTCTGAGCGGTCAACAACCTCTGTTTGACCTGTTGTATCTACTCAATCGTCTGAAGCACAATCTCCGTACTACCCATCACACGTTGCCCTACCTCTCCCCAGCAAATGGGGGTCCGACACCTCCTCCCATACAACGACTCAAAGGGTGGCATACCAATGCTCGAATGATGGCTGTTGTTGTAGGAAAACTCCGCCAAAGGCAAATATGTGTCCCCACTCCCGCCGAAATCCAACAGACACGCTCGGAGCATGTCCTCGAGCGCCTGGATCGTCCGCTCGCTCTGCCCGTCAGTCTGTGGGTGGTATGCGGTACTAAAATGCAACCTCTTACCCAACTCTTCATGAAATTTCTTCCAGAATCTGGAAGTGAAACGCACATCTCGATCTGAGACAATCTAGAACGTCACTCCATGCCGCGATACCACCTCCCTCACGTACATCTCTGCCAATTTATCTGCGGAAGAGCTCTCATTGATAGCAAGGAAATGAGCGCTCTTCTTCAACTGGTGTACAATCACCCAAATTTCATCGTCGCCCCTCACAGTCCTTGGCAATTTGGTGATAAAGTCCATAGTAATCTGTTCCCACTTCCACTCGGGAACCTTTAACGGCTGCAACTTACCATGTGGTCTCTGGTGCTCGGCCTTAACTTGGTGACAGGTTAGGCACCTCTCAACGAACCATGCAACGTCCCTCTTCATACAAGGCCACTAATACCCCCTCTTTAGGTCCAAATACATCTTAGTGGCCCCGGGATGGACCGAGAACTTCGATCGATGTGCGTCTTCCATCACAATGGTACGCATCCTGCCCACAAACAATACCCAAATTTGACCCTGAAATGTCATAAGTCCCCGGATATCGGTAACGAACTCCGATACCTGCCTGATAACTCGCTCCCTCTTTTGGTTTTCTGGTCTCACAGCCTCAGCCTGGGCCCCTCGAATGGTGTCCAACACCAGAGTGATCACTGTCATTCTCATACAAACGTCTCGCATCGAGACGCTCTCCGACCTACGGCTCAGGGCATCGGCTACCACGTCAGCCTTACCCGGGTGGTACAGGATCTCATAATCATAATCCTTTACCACATCCAACCATCTCCTCTGCTACATGTTCAGGTTGGGCTGATCCATCAAGTACTTCAGGCTCTTGTGATCCGTGTATATGGTGCACCGGACCCCATACAAATAGTGACGCCAGATCTTGAGGGTGAACACCACTACCCCTAACTCTAAATCGTGGGTGGGATACCTTGCCTCATGAGGCTTCAGCTACCTTGATGCATATGCTATCACGTGCCCCCTCTGCATAAGCATCGCTCCTAACCCTGATATCGACGCATCACACTATACCACGAAGTCCTCCATTCCCTTCGGAAGGGCTAACACTGGGGCTTCGCATAACCTCTGACGAAGTGTCTCAAAGGAGGCCTACTGCTCATGGCCCCATGAGAAAGCAACGCCCTTCCGGGTCAGCTTGGTGAGTGCCATGGTGATCTTGGAGAAATCCCTGATAAATCTCCGATAATAGCCTGCCAATCCTAGGAAACTCCTGATCTCTGTAGGTGACCTCGGCACCTCCTAACTCATCACTGCCTCAATCTTGGCCGGATCGACCAATATCCCTTTCTGGTTAACGAGATGCCCTAGGAACTGGACCTCTCGTAACCAAAAATCACACTTTGAGAATTTGGCGTAACGCCTCTCCGATCTCAAAACTCCAAGGATCTCTCTCAGATGTTCCTCATGCTGTTCTTTGGATCTCGAATACACCAATATGTCGTCAATGAACACGATCATCGAGCGATCCAACATCAGCCTACATACTTTGTTCATGAGGTCCATGAACACTACAGGTGCATTGGTGAGCTCGAAAGGCATCACCACGAACTCTTAATGCCCCGTAACGAGTCCTGAATGCTATCTTCTGGATATCCTCATCTCGCACCCTCACCTGATGATACCCCGACCTCAAATCGATGTTGGAGAACCAAGATGCTCCCTGTAACTGATCGAACAAATCAATGATCCTCAGCAACAGGTAACGGTTCTTGACCGTCAACTTGTTCAATTCCCTGTAATCAATGCACATTCAGTCTGAGCCATCCTTCTTCTTAACAAAAAGGATAGGTGCTCCCCATGGGGAACTGCTCGGCCGAATAAACCCCTTCCCCAGCAGCTCCTGAAGCTACAAGGATAACTCTTTCGTCTCTGGAGGCGCAAGATGATAAGGTGCCTTGGCGATAGGCGCAGCTCCCGGAACCAAATTGATGCTGAACTCAACCTGCCTCTCGGGAGCCACACCTAATAACTCTTCCGGAAATACGTCTGGGAACACACGCACTATCAAAACCTCATCAACTGACCTCGGTCCCTCTGAACCAACCCTCGTATCCATCACATATGCTACAAATCCCTTACATCCCTGCTGTAGACTCTGCCTCGCTCTAGCGGCTGAACAAAATGCCGACCCAAAATGCGTACCCTCGCCGTATACGGTAAGAACTCCCCTACTAGGGTCTCATATGGTCACCAGCTGTATCTCGTAGTCGATAACCGCTCCAAACTTGCTCAACCAGTCCATGCCCACG